TGAAGTTCAAACTTTGTGTTCATCCTACCTGGTTTATCTACAGGGAGGATTTTATCGTCAGTGTCAAATGAAACTGATTTTTTTTTTTTTTTTTTAATATTTATACATCACATGTTGACTATTTCAGAGTCTTCGAAATATTACAAAATAAAAGCTCTGTAATTCACCACGATATAAAATCACAGCAGCGACAAAACAAACGTTCTCGCTTTTATTTCGTTGACAAATTGCCGAACAGGAAATGATTCTATGAATGTCGCTGCCATGACGTGGATCAGCACCTGTGACACACTTGAATGTGTCTCAGTCCGATATGTTGAAATAAAAAGAGTCCAGTTAGAAGTTTAGGACGAAGAAGAAGTTCAAGTCCACGGACTGAAGACACACTGACTGCTGCAGAGCACTGGTCGTCTTTTTTTAATTAATATTAAACGTATCACGTGTTCAAATCGCACCAAGTTCAACTCTGCACTTCCCTCAGCCAATAAAAATACACCGGCAATGTACGAAGTCGATAAGATGAACGGTTCACGAGATGATGAACCTTCCGCAGACAGAAAGAGATTTATAATCAAAGATACTCGCTGATTTACGGAATATTTGTCATTCAAAGAGTAATCCACTGATTTGGCCTCATAACATTATGATATGTTATTTTATACTTTTCTTGTGCAAACCCTGGTGTCTTCGATACCCACAATGCACCTCAACCACCCAGTCAACACTTTTCCCACAACTTATTCCATGCGGTCGAGCTCCCCGGGATCTCTCAACAGACTGATCTGATCTGTTCTTCTGTAGAGACAGATTCCAAAAACTTTGGAAATAGAGAATTAACCGTACCTCGTTGTCGTGGCGATGAGCGTACTGAAAGATGAAGAGGGGCAGGATCCGCCCGAGGCCTCGTTGTCTTCTGCAGGGTTTTTAGAGTTTGAAGCCTGTGGACGCGAGAGGACTCCTCCGAGCTCTAATGTAGACGACTATCTGAGCATCAACCAGCCTGGAGCTTCTACCCTCCCATTTCTCATAAACACACACACACACACACACACACACACCCCCACACAAACACACACACCCACACATCTAACAGGACATCCTCAGTGAGTAGTGGGGGAGTTCAGGGGCGTCCACACAGCTAGGACGACAGTTTGATTCCATGACGTAGGAGAGACATTTCAATCCAATGTTCCAGTGTTTCCGATATTTCTGATCAAAAACAGACACAAAAACAACACAGTGACAGTTATTGTCAAAAAAAAAATTGAGATATAACAAGAAAAAAGTCTTAATACCTTCAGAATAAACGTGTCGTGTTAAATGGTGAATATCAGAAGATCAGTCTGTCTGTCTCAGTTAAAATGAGGAATGTGCAGCATTTCACAAATAACGAATGACACCGGCTGCACAGTGAATATCAGGACTTTGAAGAAACCGAAGAGGCAATTTCCTCAAAATCTGTTCTAAAGAAAGAACAGATTTCGAGGAAATTGCCTCTTCTGTAAATGAGGAAATGTCTGTGTCGTCGGTCGCATTCATTTCAAGAGGATTCTTAAGAAACACTGATTCTTGGATTCAGCATTTTAGATCCAGAGGGAGATGAACGCAGTTTGAATGAAGTACCTCCATGGTCCTGTGTGTGAGGATGGTACAGAGAGACAGTGAAAACATGCAGCACATAGCAGAGGACAATACCAGGAAGCTCCCCTGATCCACGGTGAGTGAAGGCGGACGAGGGACGCTCGGTAAGGAAAGAGGCTCTTTAACCTGGACGTGCACACATCCTCAGCGTCACATTATTGCATGTGTGGTTCTATCTAACGGAGACATGAGCAGATATTCAACTGGGTTTCTTTAAAGGTGGCAAATAGAAAAACAAGTGATACTGATGAGAAACTATTCAATAACACCTTTGTTACACATCAGTTATGAAGTGCTTGGACGAGCTCAGGCAGGTGAAGAGAGAATTGCAATAATCCAAACCAGAGGAAACAAACGCAGTATTGATAATCTCTAGATTTCTACTTCGTGCTGATCTTTGAGTTTCCTGATTTTGACATTCGTCCTCAACGTTTAGGGACAGAAAACGCAGGTGCATGAAGATGTGGGTGTAGTGCATGTGTCAGGGCCGAGAGTCATAACCTCCGTCTTGTCAACATTAAGCTGCGAGACGTTTTGAGTCATCCAGCATTTTCTGTCCTGCTGCTGTTGAGTAACTCCTCACACGGAGGTCACGACAAAGGTGCAGGGACGTTTGTGTTGGCCACGTTTTCACACTGCACACGGTGTTCCTCCGGCCTTGGTGGCCTGTCCGCAGTTTGTAGCTCATCAACACTTATCCCTGCTTCTGTCTCATCCTGTGTCCATCCCATTGTCCGGGAACCCTTCGGTTAGCAGCAGACTCAGGAGTCAGCAACTTCTGTCTCTTCGGATGAAACAGGAAGGAAGAAGTCAGCAGAAACAAAGCGTGGGATACAAATCAGCCCCTGACCCACACAGTGCTGTAATCTAGAGATGGACCCCACAGCTTCTCTCTTGCTCAGAAATTCAAGCGTCACCGAATTATTTGAAACCAACTTCCAAGAGAATCCAGTCAGTGCCAACATCACGTTGTTTTTACTGGTCATTTGTGTTTTTATGCACATTTGTTATTTGTATGAATTCACCACCAACCTGTGAAGCTAGATCGAGCACATTTATATGCAGGAATCATGTTGATTAATGTGCATCGTCCTTTTAACGACAAAGATAAACACTGGGGCTGTAGAAAATAATCACATGAAAACATTTTCATGTTTAACCAGCCGGATCTAATAAATCAACCCGTCAGTCTAAGTGAGCATTTGTGCCAAATTTGAATTTATTCCCTTGACCTTTGACCTCTACTTTCTAATCAGGTCATTCTTAAGTGCTACTGAATGTTGAATTTTGAATTCCCTGTGGATGTTCCTGTTGGATCCCGTTTACAAGCACATGAGGTTGTGTGTGTGTGTGAGAACTTTGATCATCAAAGTCAAATCAGTTCCTCTTTTGAGTCCAAGTGAAGTTGAAGAAATGGAAAAAAAAAACACTTCCTAAATAATGAGTCAAACACTTCTCAGAAATTCATCATAAAATATATTTTGGTCCAAAAGCTGATTTGCAAAAATACAACATGTGCAATCAGGGAGTAGACGAGGCGTCAGGTGTCTCTACGCTGCCTCACTAGTGCTGGAATGCTGCATCATCTCACTGTGTTAAGGGGAACTGCACACGCTACTGACATGTAGTGTTACCGTCAAAGCATTTAACACAGTACCCTGGTTAGCACTACATCGTTACACTACACACACACACACGCACACAACACTTCCTGCTTCTATTCCTATGCCTCTTTTTTCTAAATCTTATCCTATGACAATGATTCACATTAGCATACATTTTCCATTTCAACGCGCAAAACAACGCCGTGTTCAGGAGGAAGAAGAGGGAGAATGATGAATGGGCTCATTTTCAGGAAGCGTCCACACATGTTTCATTTAAAACGTCGGGACCGATCCAGCTCAGACGCTTCCGAGGCTGAGCCCGATAAAAGAAGCAGAGCCGGGAAAATGATTACAGGCTAAAAAATAAGATATGTTTCCTTTTCCAACACCGAAACACTTCGACCCGGTTCAGACCTGATATTAACATGATCACCAGATCTCACTTCCTGCTGCTGATGCAAATAAAGTTTATTAAAACCAAGTCCCGTTGTTTTGACCCAGTTTACAGATGTGTCACCTTTTCTAAAAATCAAGGCAGAACAAATTTGTCTTGACATGCTATGTGTTCTCAAATATAATTGAGAACCATAAAAACACATTTTAATTGTGGAGAGTCAGAGACGTCAGCTGAGGTGAGGACAGATGTTAACAGCAGGTCTAAACGGGATCTCACCGTTACTGAACAATTTATTAGAAATCCAGTCGAGGGTTTGGTGGAAAACAGAATTCGATCAATTCAAATCGTGTTTTATTGAAGTTCTACGCCACCAGAGTCGGTTTTAACTTAATAAAAGTGCAAATCCTGCTTTGATAAAGCTTTGATCCCACACGTTTGGCACTCTCAACATTCACATGGCCCGTCATCTACACTACACTTATTTTTAAACACCATCTCTGTCAAAGATTATTCTACGATTTAAAGTAACAGTTTGACATGTCGGGACTTTTTTGGCTGAGTTAGAGGAGAAGATCATTAACATCCAGGTGAGAACAGAACTAGTTTGTGCGGCGTATTAAAGGAGTGTTTAGAGCGGTTTGACACTGAGCTTAATGATGGAGCGAGAAGTCGGCCAATGAAAACTCCGTTTAAATGTGGGAACGAGAGCGTTCTTCTGGAAGACGTTACCCGTGCTACACATGGTTTCACACGGCAGAGTCCGGGCAACGTCTGAGGACAAACGAGAATAAACTGTTCTGGCTTCATATTTAATTTAATCTTCTCTTCCAACAAGAGACTGAAGATCTGTCTCATTTAAATTTAGTTCGTCCTCGAGAACCTGAGCAAAGTGAAAAAGTAATTACACTGATATTTGATCCGTCACCGAAGTTGTCTGAACACTAATCAACAGCAGTTTGTTTCCAAGTACCCTCGCTTCCATTTAAGAGTGCTTAACATTAATAAGAAATGCATTTTTAAATCTTAAAAATAAATATATGCATCAGAAGTCGTACATTATATCGCTGCAACAGATATTTGTAGTCGCGCCTCAGATCGTTAAATCTGAATTATGATCCTCGTTTTTTTTTTTAAGCTAAATTGACTTTTAGCGGGATCAGTCCGTGGCGGCGCTCCATCACCATTACGCGAAAATGTTTGAGATGAAGTCGCGAAATCGTTTGGCGTACTGCTCAGGGTGGACAGTGGAGATCTCAGCCCCGGCCTGCAACAGAGAAGAAGAAACAAGAGCTCACCATCATCACGTATACGCCAACACATCGTACATTTCGCAAACAGCAACAAACGCTCTGAACAGCTGACTGCGTCTCTCCCCCGTGTGACTCACCCCGTGTTTGACGGTTTTCGCAGCATGAGCAGCTTTCTTCTTGGTGTCGTACTGAGTGAGGACATCGATCAGGCCCATGAAGTAAACCTCCCTCTGAGGAGCTCCTGAAAACAGTCAGCGTTATTCGAACGATATGATGATAACGATATCATCATCATCATCATCATCATCATGCTCCACACTATTCAACACCTGCTCACCTGCGCAGCTCCCGATCGCGTACACGTCCACATACGGGTCGAACTCTCCGGGCCCCAGAGGTTTGCAGGAGGACATGTAACCAGCGATTCCCTCTGGAGAAGTACCAT